ATTTGACTTTAATTGGTACTGATGATATGATTCCTGGTTTTTAAGATTCAAATACAATTACTTATGATAAGCAACAAAGAAAGATTTTAGGTACTTTACTGCCAAGTAAAAACATTTTCATATCAAACTTAGAGATTGTAAATCTGAAGTATTTGCATCCTAAGATAGACATGTATATCGAAAAAAGAGGAAAAGAGCTTAGCTATAATGATCTATTAAGAAAAAAGCCTACTATAGATGGCATATATGTAAAATTTATGCTCCATAATACCTGGAAAGTATATAATGAAGAGGCTTTGATAACAACGGTAAAGCTGATGTAAAAACACGGCACTGATTGTTATGAAGCTAATGAGAAGGTACAGAAAGTTCAGTGGATAACTTAGGATAAAAATATCGGACTTATAATACACTTCTTCATCAGAGGTACATATATAATATCATTTAATTGCACTTTTAGTTACTTATTTAATGTATACAAAAAGTGATGTAACTGAGGAATATCTATTATCAGAATCCTTGTTCTTACCTTTTAATAGAGATGGACATTTAGTCGATTAAGAAAAAATTTTAAAGATGAAATTCGCTCCTGGCCGAAGCTTAAATGGCAAAAAGTTATTGGACATTGGATATTTCGCCCCATTAATAAATAAGTATGATGAATTGATCTGTTGAATTTATATAGAGAACCGCTTATATTATTCCACTATAGCTCTAATGAAGATAAGAAATTTGAAGAGCATTCTTACTGGAAATAAGTGAAAGATGAGTTAATATAAAAATAGTTCTATCTGCTTTCATAAGAAAAATCTTATCAATTTGATAAAACAAAATCAGAGGTTGATCCAACAAAGGATCTCTCTAAAACTTCAAAGGATGAAATTAAGAAGGTATTATAAATTGATGAAGAGATTAAAGTCGAGAAAACAGAGGAAGAAGAATAAGAACACAAAGAAGATGCAGATAACTCTCTTGCAAGGGATCGCGATGAAATAAGCTCTCAGTATTCAGAGTTCATGCTATACAAAGAAGATCCTCTCATGCAAGATATGAATGTACTAATCGATGAATTAACTAAGAACATGATAGATAAACTCGATGAAGATCCAACTATCCTTATTTAACCCTCTTATATCAAACAGCTATTACAGAAATTTATGGAATATATAGAAGTCATTGATAAAAACAATCCTTTCAATATGCAAAACTTCTTAAAAAATCTGACTCCAGAGAAACTGACATTTATACTGGAATTTTTGGTGTCGTTAATACTGAAGAATTTCAAGACTGGCAAATTAATACCAGACTTCAAGTCTCGAGAATCTCTTTTATTCGAACTTGTGCAGTTTGATCCCTCTTTCAAGAAAGCAATAAACCTTATGATATCCAATAAACTCTCTGAGGAGGATAAAGTAAACCTATATAAGATGGGTATAGGGCATGAAATACTTGAAGATCAATTTTTTCATACAAGGCCAGATTTTGAAATTGAAAAGTTGCAGCTTTAAGAACTAAATAATTATAAAATTCAGTTCCACTTTATGACTTTCAAGACTACTAGAGTAATATATGAGTCAGGGGTTTAATGGCCTACTAATATTGCTCTCAGGTTTTAGTTTTTTAATTTCAAGATGATACAAACATTTGAGGCAAGGCTGTACAAACCAATAGTTAATAGTAACAATCAAAATTAAATGCTAGAGGTTTAAGCATTAGAATCTTAGCAACTTTATGTTATTAAAAGAACCAACAATAATCAAGCTTCTCTATATAATCCTGAAAAACAAGATGAGATAATAGAGGACTTTGAGATTAAGGACAAGCAAGGAGGAGTAATAAATAATCACTTGCATTTCTTAGAGTACATTAACACTAAATCTATGACCATTGAAATATATGATATGAATACACAGTTCTTGTTTGGCATCTCTAAGTTAGATCTTAAGCATTTGATGGCATAAGGAGAGAACTTCATCTCTAAAGTAATTGAAGTTGATGTTTGTGATTGCAATCTAGGTACAATAGTTGGATAGCTCTAGATAGGTATCAAGATCTATGGTTCTTATTAATTTACAGATGAGCAGTAAATGACCTAAACATCGACAAGCATAAATAAATAGAACTAGTTAAGGTCATCATAATCTAAGTTTACATCCTACTCACCAAATAGATCCCAACACCAGGATCATACTTTTAATTAAAAGACTTCAAAGTATAAAAAGAAGGTCTTTTCCAAGCCTGTAGAAAGTGTAGAGGGCTTGATTGAGAAAACTATGATGTCGAAATCTATCTAGGAAAAAGAGGAAATCAGAAAAATGGCTAGGGTTGAAAGACTCAAAATGACAATGAAAGAAGATCTAGCAAAAAGGAAGAAGGATCCACTATGGAGAAGAGATAATGCAAAGCTGTACTATAGCAAAGAAAATACACAAAGGATACAGTAAACTAACCTGAATATGATTGAAATTATGAGAGAAATGAACAAAGATAGTGAGAAACTGCTTGATAAAGCAATTTATCATGGAGTAGATTTTAGCTTCAGTATTGATGCAATGCCAGGAAAATCTTATTATTTCAACTTAGTAATAGTAAATGATAAGCCAACTAAGCAAGTCTACACAATTGATGTTTAGGATCCCGATTTTGATCTCTACGATGATTCTGAAGTAAGTCTGGTCACTAGTACTCAAGGAGAATGGGATTAGCTCGTTAAAGAAGAAAAATCTTTGAAGCCATAAGACTATAAAGTAGTTTCAGACTAGAGAGATATAATTTTAGAAGCTGGATAGCAAACACCCTTGGTTTTTAAATACTTGACCTTCAGACCTGTATCTCGCTTTTAAAACAAAAGAGAAGTAGATGACTCAAGCAATCATCTTAGAAAATATGAATTGCATCCTAGAAAAATTTCTCTAAGGATAATTAGTTTAGAAAATGAGTGCTTTTGTCACATTCATTTAATGATAGCACCAAGAGCGAACCATCCTGACCACTTTATAAAATTTTACTAGCCCTATCAAGATGCTTATTAAGAGTTATAGATGTAAAACTTCATCCCAAGTAGTTACGATCACTCTTAAATATAGTTAAGGACCTCAACTAAGAAGTTTAAAGCCTTATTCTCACAAGATAAAAGATCTATCAAGCTCTTGTATAAATCAGCTAAAGCATATGGATGGCACATGGGTCAGTAGATATTTGCATATGCTGATAGATTCTTCAATAAACTTGTCACTTGTGTAGAAGTTGATATATTCTTTTTGGAAACTTACAAACTCAGGCAGGCAATCGGTCTGGAGTAGATCTTTAACATTGAGTATCTATGTCCCCGCAATGCCAAACTCAAAATATACTCATCTAACCCTGCCATAGCTTCTAAAGCGAAAACTTTTTCATAGCAAGGTTTTTATAGAAGTGATACGGTAAAGTAACTTTTCTATGATGAAGAGGAGGACTTCATAATGGGCAATAGAGGTCAGCTAGCCACTATACATACTTCAGTCAAGCCTTTGAATACAGGGTTAAATTGATGCATACTGAACTGTGTGGACGTAACTTAATCATAATTATAAGTAGCTAATTAAGGCTTGGTTGCTCGAAATTGAAGGACTTTAGACTTTGCTGACAAATCAATATGAACTGACTTAGATTAGAGGTATACATACTCTGCATAGTTTTGACTATACAAATACACTTAATACTAGAGCTAAGTTCAAGTTCACTTAATAAAAACCATATATAATGGAAATAAAAGGTGCTGATGCAGAAGAGAATATTGAGTTTTCACCCTAGGAGACCAAAGAAATAGAAGTGTATTTCCCTCCATATTCAGGCACTATAGTCAAAGAGACTGTAATTCTATACATAAATGAGCTAGAACTCAACAAGTTAAGCGATACTATCGACTTTGAGATTACTTTCATATGAATACTTTGGATAGTTCAAAAACTTGCTTTTATCCAATTAAATTTTAGAAATTATTTTGTTATAATTATCAAATATTAGATTTAAATATTATGTAATGGGGTTTTGGGGTTTTGGGG